TTTCGAATGATTTTTTTTATGCTATCTCATTAGGTTTCAATAAAACCTTAATATTAACTAAGGCACTTAACTTAATATTAAAAAGTCACTAATTAAAAAAATTGTTAATATTATATCCAAACAATAATTATGACAATAAGTTATATTAATATTATATCTTAATAATAGTTAGATATAATATGCTAGGATATAATATTTGAAATTATTAAAATAACAAACTGAAATTATCAAGTTATATAATTAAGTAATATATAGCTGTAATTTCAATATGGTTTCAACGTTATTTTTTTATGTAATTCGAAATGCAATGGATGTTCAAGAGGAGAACATGTTTCCGAATAATTCCCATAAAATACACTAGATATCAGCTGCGTCTCGATATGCATTGAAGTAAATGTTTAAATTTTATTGAAACCAAATGTATGTATATATACGTTAAGACACGATTTGATCAATTAGAAACTAGAACTGACAAGTTTAGATTTAAAGCAAAATAAATGTTAATTTTTTATTAAAAGTTAGTTTAAAGATTTTACACAAGCATAAATACTTTTACGATACATTTCAAAATGCAGCCGATATCTAATAGAAGGAATTATTTCTTTTTAGTAAAATTTAATTTTCTTATTAGATATATCGAATATGTTTCTAAATATATAAAATAAAAGTTTTTCTTTTGATTCCCGAATGTATATAACTTTCTCTCTTTCTCTTCTTCTTCTTCCTCTTTCTTCCTCTCTCTGTATATTATTCTCTTCTAAAGTTATATCTCTCAAAATCGTTTTTTTTCGTTCGTGCCTTAAGAAATATTACAGCAAATTGTTGCAATACAAGGGATAAATTAGGTAGGTTGCATACGTACAGTGATATCGCATATGGACACACAGTAAAACGAGTGGTGAACGTTTTCGTCTCACCCTGTAGTTTACCCCCATGCGTGTATCGCAATCACTATGGCACGTGTCCAGGTGGATGTTACAGAATGTCCGTTACAAAACGCGATTCGTGCTGCTCAGCTGCTTAATTTTCGATGATTCCAACTCGGTTTCCACGTGTCGATGAACCGCCAGATAACGTCGATTCGCCCGTCACTTCATAACATTCGCGTAACGTACCATTAATGTAAATGGCTCGACCTAATACACGATAAGCCAAACGCATTTTGTAACGATGCGAGATGACTACTGTCTATCAATTAGTATTTGGATGTTCGCTAGTTGAATTAATTTTATAGCGCCTTCAGAAAAAAAGAGGAGAAAAAAGGGGAGGAGAGAGAGAGAGCAAATTACAAAGGAAGTAAAATATGTAAAATACTTGAATTAGATTCGTTCTTAATAAGCCATAAGAAAAAAGAAAATAAAAGAGAAAGAGAGAGCATTAGATATATAGTATAGAAAGGAGTATAGAGAACAAATGAAATCATAATTTATAATTTATGCACTTATTTGTAGAACGATTTAAACAAGTTTTTCTTGATATACTTCGAAACGCAGCAAACGCCCAATGGGAGAATTTCTTTCTCAGTAATTTTTAGAAGACAGATTCTCTTATTGGACGATGAAATAAGTTGAATAAAAATATTCAAATCGTTTTGTAAGTGGGCCACACACAACGTCTAAAATCGGGATATAAAATGTCTTAACCCGTAACAGGTACGATACTTTTTTAGTCAAGCTATAGGTATAGTGGGGTCCGGCGGACCCCAATAAATTGTTATCATTTTTAACATGATAAAAGGTACAAAGAAAAAACGCTTTATAGTTCGAAAATAATACTTTACGAATATTATATTACAACTAGACATATATAATAACAGTCTTTCAGTAATCTCAGTTTTTCAGTAATCTAAAAGAAAACGTTAACGATTATAAAATGAATACAATATGGACAGTGTTGAAATAAAATACACTGAAAGACAAATAATTGGAAAAAGAAAAAAATTTATGTTTTAGTCTAAGTCCACAAATTATAGATTATATAAAAAATATAAACTAGTATTGTTAAATTAAATACAACATTAAAATCTTAGAGGATTTTTAGATGCAATCGTTACAGATAATGCTTGCACATTTGGTGCATACTGGTTTATTGCATCTAACATATACTTCTTTAGACTTCATATCTTTACTTCTAGGACATTTATTACATTTTACTCTAGATGGCAAAATAATTTTAGATCAGTTTCTTCAATTTTTAAAATAGATGGAATTATTAAACGCAATGGTTTATGAATATATTGAGTTGTAAGACGTCTCTTAAGTTCAGGTTCTACTAACTGAAAGGCAAGAGCTTTTACTCTTTTGCATGAAGAATGAGTCATTAAGAAAATTATTTTCATTAAAGTAACATTAACGGTACAATAGGTTACATATATTACTATGACACCAGACGAAAAACAAATGCATATAATTCACAGCTACTTGCAAATAACTCGATGATCTTTTCTTCTGTCACACTGAAAACTATTACTTGAAAGGTACTGAAGATATTAACACCATGCAGTGGATAATTTAGGAGTTATCACGAAAATAAAATTAGTTGGGGTTCCTGAGATCCCATTGTACCTGTTACGGGTTAAAGACATCTCTTAGATATCAGAATATAAAACGTCTCTGAGACATCTTTAAAGCGTATTTAAGACGTCTTACGTTCCAATTTCAGATATTGTGTTGTGTAGAGAGAGAGAGAGAGAGAGAGAGAGAGAGAGAGAGAGAGAGAGTATGTGTGTGTGTGTATACTTAATTTTAATATAATTTGAACATTTTTTTCGATACAGTTTGGAATGCAGCCAATAATCTAATAAGAGAAGTTGTTTCTGATTAATCTCTAGATGTTATTCTATCATTTCAGATTATTTTATCATTGGGCTATTGCCTGTATTCTAAACTATATCGAATAAAAGTATTCAAGCCATATTGAAACTAAATAAGTGTATGTTAACAAGCGAAATAACTTCAACACCCAGTGCAATTAAGTTACTAGTATTTTTTAACTGTATATGTTTCGCTAACAACATTAGGCGACAACATTTTTTTGCTAAATTAAGTTGCATTTTTTGAAAGTGCAACTTTTATTAAAATGAAACAAGTATATATATATAACTCAGCGTTAAAGAGAAAAAGAACGAAGTTCCTGTGCAGTACTAGTGTAGTACTAGTTCAGTTAAGAAGAACAAGGTTGTAACATTCTTCAATGTTGTCAGAAAGATATTTTTATAGCATACATGTTTTTTGTCTGAGTTATTCCTGACTATTAAGATAAAATACCACAGTGACAGATTATTGATTTGACATTTTGGTTGTGTTCAAGGCTGCGTTAAAAAAAATTCTACATATAAGGAACATCTGCAAAGTGTCTCTCTCCGATTTGAATGAAACTGGACATATTTATAGAATAGCTACAAATAATAGACACATATTTTTCTTTAGCGGCTAAGATGCAAGTTTAAGAAATGAAACTACCCTTCAAAATTTTATCCTTTATCTGTTATTTCAGTAACTATTAGAGATACAAAAGACTTTTTAGACAAATATGATATAGTTTTTTAGGTATAATATAATAGGCTACACATAAAGCGTGAGAGTGAGTATGTGTATATGAGTATGTTACGATTGAGCTACACTCTAAGGGCGAACTTACCCTTAGAGTATAGCTTACAATATTGTACTGTACGGTAGAGAGAAAGAGACGGAAGCTAAGAGTTAGAAAATGAGATTTTACCTTGAGCGGTATGTACGCACTCCCGATTAAATTTCACAATTAGGTGCTTGATTTTAGTTGCACTTTATATATTTCATATCAGACGTGGATCTCGATTCATCTCATCATTACAAATGACCTGCTCCACAAATTCAATCACTAATTTTAATAATTATTTTTCCGTGGGAACATGATTAAAAGCAGCAGAATACTACCTCGTGCGATACATTACCTAGAATAACAAAAGATAAGAATACATATGACACCGTGGCAAGATGCATTTGTCATCGAAGAAACACTGACCATCGCGATCTGTAAGGAAAGAGAGAAACGAGGTGCATCGCGAGAAAGCCGCAAAGCTTTTTCGCGCCAGCAGTCTTGATTCAGTTTTCTCTGAGAGTGGTCGTGAGTAGCCATTTACAATTCTAAGTCGAACTTAGAAAATTTTCAAAGTCTGACTAAATCTTTCTGTGCCAATCAATGTTCAAACCGCGACTAGATTTTTTCCAACAAAAACAATTACCCGCTCATGTGGATTGTAAATTAATCTGAATAGAAATAGGCGAAGAAATAGGTTAAGAAGGTGAATTGTATATCACGTTAATTTAGGAAAGAGTATTGATTATTAGAACAAAAGGGGAGTGCACCAAATATCTTACAAATTTGTTTAATCGATTTGTATCACTTTATAGATATATATTTTTAATGTATTTTGCAAGAATTTTTAGCATGCATTTTCTCGTTTCTGACGTGATTAAAAAGAGATAGACAATGCGAGGGGCCAGGTGCCTTAATTACTAGATATGTTACTAAATAAAAATTACTCGATGCTTGTTAAAATTATATATGTAGTAGTATATATTCTTCATACATATAAATTCACTCTGTTAGAGTTGTGAATTTATATTACCCCGGAAGCAGAGTTCATAGAGTTAACTCCGAGTACACTTCAATTTTTGGAACGCTTGAGCTCTGCTCATATAGAATGTTATTCCGAATTTTAAAATGCAGCCCATTAGACGGTTGTGCAACCGTCGAATAAAAATTATCTACGATTGATGTATATCTTTTTAGACCTATTAATAACATCCATCTTCTAAAAGTAGAGCACTCAACCATTATGTCCGCTGAATGCAGCCAAAGTTCTCACTTCTTCGAATAATCAGTATAATAATAAAGCAATAATAAAACAATAATACGTATGGTTAGAAAATCCCTTAATAACCTAGTCGCATTGCGTATTAGCTTACCGAAGTTAGTGTGTGATATAATATAAGGGTGACAAATGAAAACAACGCAAGTACGAATGAAAGCACGATAGTTTATTGTTTATTTAAATTACTAAATGACTAGAAGAGTTTCCTAATCCTAAACCAACATAGGAATTTCTCCTGTCTCTCGCGTGACGAGAGTGCGGAGCTGCGAGTTGGCGTTTTTCATCGGTTAGTCTTTGGAGGTGCTGCATCATCGCTTCATTGAAGAAGCGACCGCTTCAGGCTCTCGATGGACTTGCCGATAAGGAATCTCTAATAGACGACGCGAAATCCGTCAGAAGTTGTTCATATGACGGCAAATCGAGTATGCATTCGAGAGGGGAGTCACTCCGACTCGAATGTGTTCTAAGTCGAGACGATGATTCATCGATCGTAAAAAGTGGCCACTTCGGCCAGGAATGGCGATTATAATACGACAGTGAGTCCATCCTAACCTCCATAAGTCTAAACTTGATTCGAATTATTTACAAAATTTAATTAATACCTCGATCACGATTAACTGTAAGCGGGATTACCCCAACAACTCGATGATAATAATGCTCGGAAATGGCGAAGGAATAAATATGTAAATTCCGATAGCATAGATAAAGTCTGATGACGATCGTTCGAGATGTATGTTCATTTCGACGCCATCGTCTTCTTCGGCGACATCGTCTTCTTCGGCGACATTGTCTTCACTGCCGCTGTGATCGTCGCCATCGTGGTAGTCGTCTTCGATGCTTTCGAGGATTCCATGTTTTGTTGCTTCGACACGTCTACTGACGATGTCAGAGGTTTTTTGTTCGCGTCGCACATTTTTCGAACTCGCCAGTAATCTGCAACAAAAAAGAACAACACGAACATAAATAACAAGTTTAACTGTCCGAATAGCGACAATAGATGATGTTGGGAATGCTCGATTGATCGAACAGTTCGAACGGTTGAAATTAGAAATCCTGTAATAAGAGATCGGACACCATATGTAACGTTTTGATTGGCTGCGCCATATTTAGGTCTTTGCTTCCGGTTAGGATCATCAGCTGAATGACAACACAAGCAGTGGTCTGTTCTTTTCAGCTGCATTGGCTGCACTGCTAAACTGGTGCAATAAGTTAAAGTGAGATAAGTATACTTCCGGTTTGGATCCAAACATGGCGAATCTAGTATCTACAGGCGACGGTGTCCGATCTCTTATTAAAGGATCTCCAGTTGAAATAGTTTGTCAGCGCTCACTTATAGGCATACTTTATATAAGATGTCTATCGATTATGTATAAAACTCTCATATACGTTTAGATTAGGTAAAATTGAACAAAAAATTCCTCTACTATTTTGCAACAACCATGTAAAAGTTGAGTTATTAATTAGAGAAGATAGGCGAATAATCTGCGATTTTGTTCAATTTGTTTGTTGACTTAATCTACATGTACACGAGAATTTTATACATCATCGTCCGACATTCTGTATAAAATTAATGAAATGCTATTTTTTATTAATAATAAAAATATAATAAGCTATCAGCCTGTATGCTATTCATCCCTATACAGCACAAATGTCCCAAATATATCCTAGAGAGATCCCACAGATATTCAGCCCTGGGATGCTGTCTGTAGAATGTATTTAACACATTAGTGTTACATGAGTCTGATATATGCTGTACTGTGCGAAAAACCGAGTCGTGGATAAAAAGATTGTCCGTAATTTTTTAGGTGAGTTTGTAAATGTTTATCCAATAGGAGAATTCGTTTTAATGGAAGAATACACTCATTGGACAATGAGCTTACAAGCTCAATCAAATACGGACAACCTTTCTGTTCGTAACTATATCTTAAACTTCGATAAAGCTTTCACGTTACTTACACAGAGAAAAAGATTAGTTGGGTTAACATGACAATAAACGAATCAAAAGCTTTTTGATCGAAGAAAACAAAATTTCTACTTGTTAGAAACGAATTTGGCTCGTGAGAACCAGAAATTCTATTTCCATCAAGCCAAATTGCGTTTGGTTTGTCCATTGCTTTATGTTAATTTAAGTTTTAATTAGGTTAGTTACGTTTAGTTCGTTAATTCAGTCAATTTTTTTACGTGTGTACTTATCAGACCAAAAACTGTGTGTGATTCACACACAGAAAAATCTCTCTCTCCCTCTCTCTCTCATTTTACTGCTAAGAAAAGGAATTACTCAGTTTATTTTTTTTTAAGTAATTGTTATCTTCAAGAAAAAATATTTTCTTGATAATAGTTTTTGAATGTACTTATTACAAATTAAAACAATTCATTTTCGTACTTAAAAGATTCAATTCATATTTAAAAGAAAAATGTATTCTTTATACAAAAATATTTTAAAACTTTATACAAAAATATTATAAAACTTTATCGAAAACGTTGCTTCAATTCTATATAGTAAGCAAACTGAATTGTTTTAATATTTTTGATTAAAATGCTAAACTTATTAGAATTCGGAATGTACTTGAAATAAATCTGATGTTTATGATAAACTTGTGATAGATTTGCAGATATATAAACTTATGAAATACTTATGAAACAATTAACATTTATTTGAGTGCAATATATGTATTTTTCTGTGTACACTATTCGTTTAGGTCCGTTTAATTGTTCCCATCATGTCTGGATATAATATGATATGATGATGATAGAGTAATGTGATATGATATGATATACGATATGATATGTGATATGGTGTTGGATTTAATATGATAAGATATAAAATGTTATGTTATCGAAATAGCAGATTAGCCGAATAAACTCACTAGTCTTTCTAATTATTTATATTGCGTGTGTATATGCGTACACATGTCTACTGATTATTTAACTAATTTGTCATTTTAACAGCTTGACATATATATATTATATGCAGATACAGGAATGATTAGACAATGATTAGTGAGAGCATTAATTTAATAAGTTTTAATGCCTTTATTATGAACTCTCTTTTATCGATAAGAGTGTCTCTAAATGTGACTAAGTCTTAAGCTCTAAATAAGCCTTATCTGGCTTTCAGTCACATTTATAAGGGCTTAAGACTTTATTGAAGTTCAGTATACTCGCGAATAATCGGGTAAAACTCTCCATAACAAGTACGTTTTCTTGGTTCTATGGCAAACCACGAGATTTGACGCAGTTGCCGAGGTCATCTCACTGCGACGCTGCGTAACCTGTATGGGAGCATCGTGCGGGAGCAGCGTGAAATTTCCACAACAAAGACTACACACAGACGCAACATCGTCTTAGGAGCACCCTACTTTCGATCAGGTAGCCACCTGAGCGCCCTACCCTCGTTTCCCTTTATATCCCGTCTTTTTCTCCCTTTTTTCTTTCTTCACCAACTGACAGGTGCGATCTAACGTCAGCCGTAGCCGGTTTGGCGAAATCTCCTCGTGTCTACGACGCTTCGATAGAAACGCGGAAAAACGTACGTGCGCGCGCGCACGAGACAAAGTTTTAATACTCCGGGTCTCGGGGCTACGTCAACATCCGTACTTTAGCGTTTTCTCAAACAGGTTTACCGTTTTGTTTCCATTTACGACGCAGCTTTATAATCCCACAAAACGTCTCTGGAAGACTGCACCCGGAATTATCCTTGTAAACACAGCTTGTTTTCACCGGTTTGAAGAGAGAAAAAGAGAGAGAGAGAGAGAGTGGCGGTCACAGTGTCGAGGTATGACTCTCGCGTATCAACCGCTTTGGTCTGATAATAAAAAAGAAAAAAAATAGTAAAAGAACGAAAAAATCCACGAAACGGCCATATGTCGAAGACACGGTCCTTTCTCTGCGTTTCTTCTTAGTATCGGTTCGCCATATGGCGCGCGAAACCAAACTCTTCCTCGACCGATGTTCTCTCTTCCTCTATTTTTCTCCTTCTCGCACCTTTTCCCGAAGCATGAGACGCGCTTGCGATTTTGCTCGCCGACATCTGCCTCCACGCATCAACGTGCCGCGAAGCAGGCATCCTAGATGCGTCCTGGAAGACGTCCCAAACGCCTACCTGTCCATATGTTCTGGGTGAGATTGGGCTCTGGAAATTCCCCTTTGTTCGCGGATCCAAACGCGACACTATAGTGCGTCCATAGCACGTTTTTCATCCAAGCTAAGGATCTCCTTCGGCTTGCTATTCGAGGCGTCCCCGATTTTTCTGGAAAGCAGTGCCACGCGAGTACGCTTTAAGTCGCGATTGAGGGTCGCCTTTGTCGACCTCTCGTCGTCAAATCGAGAGAGACCGTCGTGGGCTTTCTACTACCACCATGACGCCAGAAAATAATACACCGCGATCGCTCTTCCTTCTCGCGATACGATCTGTGTGAGTCTGCGTTTTTCTTGGCTTGCTGGTACGAAGGAGACACGCGAGGAAATGCTTTTCCGTCTTTTCCAATTGTTGCGAGACGTTACGAGAAAGGGAAGTCTAACTTATCTTTTATCTGTGGAATTTATTGTTTTTATGTAGCGACGTAACAATCGCAAATAAGATATATACTAGTCGTTTGAATGAACTTTCAATGGCAATTCAGCAAATAAAAGGAAAACGACATCGCTTTGTATTGATAAGGACCAACGATATCGTCTCTCTTGGGTTTGTAAGATCAGCAACCGAGACGAATTACATCGGTCTTTCGACGTCATCGCCATCACCCAACCTCTACGCTACTTGCATCGCGAGCGCAGCTTATCCCAGCAGGTGGTGCGTGACCTTCGAAAGGTCCCGTGGCACGGTATCGCGTGTTCGCGAGTCTGATTTAATCGTGGGAAGAGAGACACTAGTCGTCATGGGCCCGTAGGAAGGGCTAACAGGTGTTGGTGGAAAAAGAGCTGGTTGCGATGCGTCGCGTCGTGACGCTTCGTTGAATTTTCGAGGGTCTCGTGTCGTCGAGTCCCTGCTCAAGGAGTCACGTCGTAGAAAATTAACAGAGCGGATTATAGGCGCGGAATCGAGGAGGTTGAGAAAACCAAGTTTTCCCCTCTGTATAATTTTGTCGAGCTCGAATGTCTTGAGAGGACTGTTCCAATTGCGTACATTCCCACTGGACAAGAACCAATTAAAGTTAAATTAGTTGGTAGTTAAATTAGGTTAGATTGTATCAGATGAGGTCAGGTTAAATTCGACTAATTTGATTGATTCATCTGCAATTAGTCTATGTACAAAATAAGATTGACATAATTTTTCTTCGATGCACTACGGAACATCTGATGTCCAATAGAAGTTGTTTTTGAGAAATTCTCAAAAGATGTATTTTCTTATTAGATGTCAGATACGCGATCAAAAAAAAGTGTGTCAACCTTTATGTCTATGATCGTATATACTCGTCCACGATCGTATATTCAATCTTCAAAGAGTTCGAATAGTTTTTCTCGATGCAGTTTGAAGCGCGGTCCAATAAAAGAATTTAATTTTTTAAAATTAATTAAAAACAAATTCTTTCACTGTGGCCTGAGTTTCAAACTATATCAAAAGAAAGTGTTTAAACCGTATTAAAACAAATGTACATTGGGAGAATTCTCCCATTGAAAAATAAATTCAAAACAACGAATTCAACAAAGACAAAACGGATGTGTTCCGGAACCCACACAAAAAATAATGAATAACCTTTTTAACTGCCTATATTTGCGGGCATAAAACACACTTTTTTGATACACTTCAAAATGCAGCCGACGTCCAAGGAGGAATTTATTTTAGAGACATTCTCGGGGAGGGGGTGAGACGATTCTTTTATTCAATGTTGAATGCGTTTCGAAATGTTAAAAAAAAGATGTCAACCTTCAATTTCGTTGCAATTGTGCACATGTAAGCAAAAAGATTTGAATACTCCTTTACTGAATACGAAAATTTATTTTCTAAATATTACACTTGGAAACAAATTTCATTATTGAAATTATGCATTGGATAACAGCTACGTTCCGAAATATGTCGAGAAAAAATGTATTCAAACCTTTATGCTTCCAAGTATACAATTGGAAATCACTTTCTCGTGATGTACATTCGCCGTTAAAGAGGTTATTTGTCCCTTTTTGTAAGTTTAGGAACGTATGTGCTTGGTCCAATAACAGAATCTGGTTTCCATTGGAAGAATTATGCCATTGGACAGGACAATGTACGTCCCAAAACTTATACGTAAAATCGATTCTTTTAAAGACTTTATTCACCAGGTATGTATTTTCAGGGCGCTCAAAGGGCATATTTTCAGTGATGCACTAAGGGAACTACTCATACATTCACTACTTATCAAACAAAATTACGTTTTCAAATATCCATTTTACTATCTAAATAATAAATGTTAATTTGGAACTAATTTCATGACACTATCTTGCTACGTTTCATATAGTACACACAATGTCACTCAAAGCATAAAACAGCAGTTTTCTAGCTTACTATCGACCATTACACAAAACGATATAATGAATATTATTCTATGTCGCATTTCTAATGTGACATTTATAACGTTAAGTTTTTCGAATGATATCACTTTTTGCAATGTTTTTTACACTGGAATAATAATCATCTATATTGATATCATTTGTATTCTGTTATAAGATTATATATGTTCAAAATTGCGATATTCAGTATTAAATTTCTCATGAATGGCGCGGACAAATCGTATGAAACTTCAACTACAAATAAATTTTACGTAAAATTTTTGTATAATTTTAAGCATTTTGATTGAATAAACTTTTTAAGTCAATGGGCTTCTAATTATATTTTTGATTAAAATCATTCTAATTCTTCGCATGCGAGAACACATGTAAAATATTGCACCTTGGTCGAATAAATGTAATGTCCATTGTGCACAACGCTCCATGCGATAGTCGAGCGTGCAGACACACGGCTATGCCAGGGCCGAAGAATCCCAGGAATGCGAGCACGGGTTCGTCTTACTCCTTGGAATCTAGGGCCCTTCGATGACTCACGACGGGACCCTTCAGGTACTCCGCATCGTTCGTCTCGGATGTATGACTCACAAGAGTGATTCACTTTCAATCGCGGCCTTCGGCATTACTGCGTTGTTGCATCCCGCGCAAACCAGCAAGCGGACTTTCTCACGACCATATATACTCCATGCCTTTCTCGCTTATCTATGTTCTCTCTCACTCTCGTGATAACGCAAGCGCTTTCTCCGTATACATATCGAGTCATTGTGAATGAGTCAGTCGATACTTTCCCGTACATGAAGCAACTGTTGAATCAAAATTGTGTTGAAGTATACACAGGAAGAGAATATTATAGTTTTTTTCTTTTTCACATAAATTATTTTAAATTTGATCATGTTTTTTTAGTAATGCAGGAATAGACTGCTTAATACACAGAGAGAAAAAATATTTAAAAAATAAAAAATATTTAAGTCAGACATTATTATCTTCCCAGTTAAATATTTAATTCGTTCCAATAACCGTGACTAGCTTTCCTCTCACTTGAAAGAATATATATTTAGTAGATACATTATATATATATATATATATAATGTATATATTATATATATATATATAATATAATATATATAATATATATATTATATATTTTTTTAAGTAATATATATATAAAAATAATATTTATATATTTTTTTTAACGATAAGAAAAATAAGAATTTTTTTTCAAATGGGAAATATACATTTCTTGAAAACCATATTTTTGCATAAAAGCAATTGTTTATGCTATTTAAATAAAGGAATTTAGATTTAAATACATTGTTAGCAATCGAATAATTTTTTTTTATTTTTAGATATTTTTTCTCGATGTAGTGTGTGTTTATTCTTGATAAAAAACATATGGTCAATTTTTTAAATAATAGACGATAGTTTTTAAAATATAAAATAGTACATATGATATGAAATGGAAGGACAATAAATTAAGGCAGAATATTGATATGCTTGGTTATAAGACACGTTAATTTTGACTATGAAACTTCTTGTATATACATACTAATGCATAGTTTTCATATGCATTGTATTTTTGTTGCATCCAATTGTTGCCTATCAAAGCGTGTGCCAGTAGGGGAGAGCAGATGATGTTAACACATGTACCACTTAAGTACTTACTAAAAAAAACAAATAAAAAAAGGTAAATATTGTAAAAATAGAGTCCCGAGCGTTCCTTTCGGAACACAGATATTTTCCCTACGCTTTAAAAGGAACATTTAGGCGATCCTCTTTTCCACTTCTTTTCTCACAATAAACACATAAACGAAACACAGGGCCTTTAGGCCAATTTGACCTGGTCTATTGGAGAAGCTCAAACGCAAAGACCTGGCGTGCAACGATAATCGTAGGAAAATTACGTGGCACAAACGGTTGTCCGACAGTTTTCACTAATAACCTTGTCTTGCCGCCGGACAAATCGAGCCCTCAAACCTCACTCGAAAAACCGCTATTGCGGAGCCACAATCGCGACAGAAAGTGCGGTACCCTTTGTAGAAAGAGGAGCAACGAATTCTTGGACGAAAGATGGGCCACGTAGAGTCTCCGACGAGCGGCGCGACGCGTGCTTCTGGCGTAAGAGCGATAGCCCGACAGCAGAACAGGCAGGTTGCCTGAAGAGACGCGTAAGACAAGAAGCTGAGAACACTCAGGCAAGGGAACGACCGCGGCCGAAGAAGGGAGGAGACGGAAGAGGGGGACGGACTTAGAATAAGAAAACAGGTCGGAGCCACGCGACCAGGCCGCGCGCCCAACTTCTCTCCCCACTTAGGGTCGCGGCTTTCCCGCCAAAAACCTGCACGACGCCAGAAGAGCGAGCGGCGGATCCCACTTTGCAACTCGGGACTACTTTGCTTCCAACGTGATGAAGCGAATGCTCGATCGCCTCTAATCCTGACATTAAACCGTCTTAACTACGGTGTCGATCGATCGAATCAGCGAGTGTCCGCGGCGAGAAGCGCTGCGGGCACGAGATCGTTGCATAATTCGTTTCCCGCCTCCTGCGAACATCGCGCTAATATGCCATATTGAGTTATGCGTAAGAGATATTTTTAGATCGGCCACGAGTGTCTCAAAGCCGAAAAAACGGTGTCGGCCGGAAGACACCGCCGCAATAATATCCCTTTTCAATTCCACCGCGGCGCGCATTTGGAGCGCTCGGAAATTCGCCCGTGCTTTCTGTACGCGGACGGGGAGAAAATTTCCGAGCGCGCGTCGTGCATGACTCACGCTCCCTCATGCATATTCCGTGGCCGCGTAACGTCTGGATTGAATTCGCGTTCGCGCGCGCATCCAGTATCGCCGACGAGGTGCATGCTGATATTCCGCGAGAAAAATGTTGCTCACCGTGAATGCTGGTCTGCCTTGAATACGGATTATTATTCCGTTTTTTGTTGCACGCCGGCTCGTTCCTCTCGTTGGTCCGTCTCTGATAATTGTTCTCCTTGTCCTCGGCGCAGGGATCCACTCCCCATCTCTTGGCGAACTTGCTCCTCTCCTCGTCCAGCGCCTCCTGGAGCAGCTCGATGGTCTCCCGGGAATTCGGCCGGCCGAAGAGACAGCGTGGTACTCGCGAGGCCATGGTTGTGTTGGGCAACACCGTGACGTAGACTTCGCAACAGATTGAGGCTACCAGCATCTCGGGACCCTCTTTGCGTTTTCCAGCAGGTGCGTGCGTGTGTGTGTATATATATGTACGTCGAGCCGAGAGCGAGAGCGGATTCCCGGATGATTCCTTCCCGATCTCGATTATTCCCGCCGTTTTCCCGCGCAAAGTCCGCGCTCGGCAGCCAAGTATGTAGGCGCGACAAATACGATAGCACGAACGTCAATTCCGCCGTTTCCCCTTGTCGATGGGTGCCGCAGGCTTGGTAGATTCGTCGTTGATGCGAATTCGCTCGATCCCTTCGACTTCTCTGTGATGATTCCTCCCGAATACTTAAGACGGTCGCTCTCCGCGACGTCGCGCGACTATCTCTCCAAGTCAACCGAACGACCGCCGCAGTCCTCACCGTTTCACGGGCAAACTCGTTCTGGTAGGACCGTTCTGAAAACGGCGAAGCTGCCTCGTTCACGTTGTCCGTTTGAGCGGAGCCACGAGGTCCGGTGATCCCCACCACCGGCCGCGGCGATTCAAATCTGATTGGTGCGCAGACCGGGCTGCGCGGCAAAAATGGCGCGAGTTTTTCCTGGCGTCATCCTCGTCGCACGCGGCCGCCGACCGCCGTCCGTTTCCGTTCTTTTGAACGAGCGCGCGTGCGCACTCCACGTGTCCCCCCACCAGCAGCTTGTTCTCGTTCACTCGAAAACCGTCCAACGGATTATGCTAAGCGACTTCTCGGCCGCGTGGAAGGGAACAGACCGAGTCCACGGCACCGAGCTCACCTTCTGCCTTTTCTTCTCTTTCTTTTCCTTCTCTTTTTTTTATAAGTAGCGCCTTGTATAGAGTGATCACGATCGCGTTTCGAGACGAGTGTTTTCTGCCTTCGAATTTATTTCCGAACCAAACCAACGCGTATAATCGATCGCGGGAAAAGTGCGGCGTCAGCGTCGCTATTTCTCTCGCTTCTTTCTCTCTCTCTCTCTCTCTCTCTCTCTCTCTCTTGCTCTTTTTTTCAGTCTTTCTTTTTTTGGTTATTGTCTTATAATTTGTTCAATAAATGCGACTTGTTCTATTTCCATCGAAAAATATAGATTAGAATGGACATAAGTTGTTTTGAGAAGAAAAAAGTTTAATATCGTTTGTGGAAGGTAACATTCTTAGTAAAGATTTGCGATCGCGTAAGCACGCCCGCTAATGAGATTACCAAACAATCCGTTCGACTGTTGTGGGCACGGCTGCCTCTGGCATTTTTGCGGCAAGTCCGGCGTTTTGCAGCAAGAAGAAAAAACGGTCGTCCGAGCAGGTGAAGCAGACGGAGAACGAGAGGAAGAGAGGGAGAGACCAAGTGGAAGTAAGTTCCAGGCGAAGAGTCGCCCTCCGAGTTGCCGCAAATCCTTCTCGGGCTCATAGAACTTTCGATAGGCACGACGTATGAATAAGTCGCCGTAATAATAATTATGCGGTTTTCATATGATTAATCTCGCGATGTATGCAGAAGGCATCGCATTATGCAGTTAGTGGCGAAAAAATTGCGGTATTTTTATCTCGATAAATTGTAGAACGCATTTAATATCCAATAAGATGTATTTTTCTAAAATTATTAATAAATAATCTTTCCTATTGAATATTGGATGAAAAATTCATCGATAATGCACATTATATTAATATCATAAATGTTATAAGTACGATATTAAATATGTTGCAAACCTTTCTGCATTGACTGTACATTCGGTGGCAGAAAGATTGCAGCATCTTTACTTCGATGAACTTCAGATCGTATTCATTATTTAATTAAAAGATTTACCTTCTGAGAATTAAAATTTCTAAGAAAAATTAATTCTTTGTATTGAATATGGACGCGTTGCAAACTCATTGAAAAAAATTTTGTTTTTGAACATACACTTAATTACTGACATCTTTTCGCAAAATTGATATTTCTTCGTTCTACTTTCCTCATTGTTAACTACTATCACCTTGTTGCTAGGCTGTTTCCAAATTTGCATGAACAATCAATGAAAGGAAGATCGCAACAAATTTATTATGATAAACTTCACAACGCATTTGATATTCAATGAAATAATATATATCTTCTGAAAATGAGTAAGAAACAAATTCTGTTAGATACGCAGGATGCGTTCTAAATTGATCGAGATAAAAGCAAACTTTCTTCCATGGCTAAACAAATCAGGATTCACAGCGACATCAAAATTTCTGTTCATTTTTAAAACAGTAATATATACCCAGTAAAAAATTCTTTGAAACTGTAATATATACCCATCTCTAAAACAGTAATATACCTAATAAAAATCTATAAATCTCGGTGTTATTCGCGTGAGTGTGTTTCTTCTCTCGTTCTCTCGTTCCGACATAGCGGCTGCATCACCGATATGAAATGCCGACTTCCTTCTCGCTTAAACGCGGGAACATCGATATCCGTGGGGGATTTCGAGTTTCGAGTCGGCGTGTTCCCCATTGGGTTGCCGCTTCCGGCCTCGGTCAGCCAGACCGGAACACGCCGGGGCTCTCGCGTACACTGTGACGTCAGAGGATCGTCAAAAATTAGGGAGAAACCGATCTGCAGGGGTCCCACGCCAGGATGTAGTTAATACCGCGACTTTAACTCGTACCGAAGACGATTACCGGCCCGATCATTTTCCACGCTTATGAACGGACTAATGGAGGACACGTTCACGAGGCACGCGGTACGATTTTCGGAAATGCCCGACGTTATGTATTATCGCCGCGAGCAATACGTTAGAACATTCGCCTTAATTTATTTTTCGCGATCTTTGCCAAGAACTTACGTATTTTTTCAGGAAACTCTAAACGTGCGGACACTGAGGAAAAAATGTTTAATATTTGTAAATATAATCACATAGACAAATTTACTATTTCTTAAGGTACAATCAGTGTATTCTTTACTGATAACTATACTATACTAATACTATACTATACTATACTTTACTAATACTATACTAATAACTGATGATTTAGTTATAATAACACTGTAATCAGTAAAATCTCGCTGGAAGAATCATTTAATAGTAGCCACTGTTACTATTATTGATATCCACTCTAAAAAAAGGCATATAAGAGATTTAATTGTTGGCACTTTTCCGCGATGCTGATTGGTCCTCTCGCTTAGCTCACTTCATGTGGGCTGCGACTTGCTTTGTGTCGTTTACGCCTGTCAAATTATCAGGCAAATAACTGTCATCGCGTTGGTTAGCTCATGAAGAAAAGAATACAGAAAAGATATAAATTATAAGAATAGAAGAATAGAGTAGAAGGATAGAGGAGAAAGAGGAAAAAGAAAGGACAGACAAAGAGAGAAGCATATTATTTAGGCAAAAATAAGATAAGAATAAGGTAATTTAAAAAGTCATTATAGTGATAAAGATGCTAAATAACGCGCGCGTAGCGCACGCCTGTAATGTTCTAGTAGTTTACGAACGCAGACAGTGTCATTGCACGCAAATCACACAGAAACCGTTAATACCGCTATAAACGCAGGAAGTTGGATTTGGCACAGCGAATAACGAGTTTGGTATAACGAATTTGTGTAATACAACTTTTGAATTTAAGGTAAAATTTTATTTTTGCTGCTCAAAATTAGTAAGATATAAGACGCAGTAAAATGCAATAAAGTAGTAATGTTTCCACTAAAAATCAGTTAATATTCACTAATTATTGTGGTGAGAATTATCGCGCCCGCAAGTTATCTCCTTTTATTTCAAATATTTTTACTGATTCACTTTAAGAAGGTATAAATTATGATCAAAGAAATCAGTTTTTTTTTAAATTCTACTATAATGTTAGTGATGATAACTTTATGTTACTATTTTTTTATGTTAGAGAAAGAGAGAAAGAGAGAGAGAACAATCGAAATATATAAAAATATATAGATAGAAAGCGAAAATAACGGTAGTAATAATATATATTAAATTATTATCACTAACATTATATAGTAAAATTTAATAAAAAATTGGTTTTCTTTTGACCATAATTTATAATAAATATATCTCTATATAATTATAATTGCAAGTATCGAACATTTCAGTACACTAATGTTGTTCTGATAATAGTGTTTAGTGTACAAATTTAACGTACAATTATGACACACTTGCTTTCACATAAATTGAAGGCAAAAATTGCATGCAACGGAACATCTTTAAGAAGTCGTGACCCAAAATTGTCGTTGAAGCGCGCGTCCAACGTTTCTTTCAATATCGTCCTCTCGTTCACCGATCGTGACCGATCGGGTTCCTCGCCACAGAGGAAAACGCCTTGTGAAAGGATGCTCGGCAGCTGACATTCCTTCAGAGAGAAAGTAAGAGAGCGAAAGACATCGGACGATATGGACGAGCGAAGAAGTCGCGAAGAATGAAGTATGAAAATAAGGATCGAAACTCTACCCTTTAGCCATCGGCGCGAGCACCTGGCAGCATATGTGCCCGGCTAAATGAAAAAGGACGAGCGTCTTCTCTTTCCGCGAATTCTGTGCACGCTCGGGAGCGCCCGAAAAGTGCGGAATCAGAAAACCGACGTGCTCTCGCGCGACTTTCTTCGTGCGTTGAAATTAACGGGAGCGTGCTGCGTGTCGACGGATGGGTCAGTCAGCTGTTGGCCGTGATTCATGCCGGGCACGTATCATCGGCGAACAACGAAACGTTTGCAAACGCTATGGGGTTCCTGCTCGGCACTCTTGTCTTCGGCTTTTTGTTGTCGATCGCAAAGCTTTTTAAACAGGTCGTATATTTACGCCAACTTTTTTCAGTAACTTTAAAGGAAAATTTAAAGAGAAAAACATCGAAATGTCGGGACATGTCTAAACTTTAGAATTTGCCGTTTTAATCTTTAAATAAGAAGACTTAAAGCTTTGATATCGAACAAGAATATGAGTTTCCTTTACATACTTTAAAATTTTAGTTACAATATCCAGACACTTGTTTCTGTAAATTCACTGTTTTTTTTTTCAAAATATAAATAGTTATTTTATCTGTCAGTGTAATAGATTGCAGGAATTTGCTGACTCTATTGATACTCGCTATAGGAAGTAATAAATTATTCTTAATATTGAGCCGTCTGTACAATTATAAGAATAAAAGAAACAATTTTCTGCTCAAAATGAAGTGCAAGATACAATATATTGATTGCACTAAAGAACCATTATGTAAAATGAATATCTATTGGTATAATTGTTTTATAAAATATTTTCTTTATTAAATACTTCTTGTACAAACTACATAGAAAGAATATTATTTGTATAGTTATTACTGTATTTTAGTTATTTGTAATAGAATTTTTTTTCAATTTTGTTATGTTTCTAGTAATACAGGAATAGACTGTCAATAAAATCTATCTTACTAAGGAACAGAATAAATTTTGTTAGAAATATAGCAAATTTTTTAGTAACATATTTTTCAGTTTCTAAATATAGCTAATTTCTAAAATATAAATAG